GCAAAACCCAAACAATGCAGGGGCACAAGTGTAAAGCAGAAGCTTCCTGCAATGGAAGGGGAAACCAATTCTGGTCTCTGGACAACGGTTTGTCTCTGATTTACCAAAGATATTGACTACAACTGGTGTGTTTATGGATCAGCAAAGCAAGCAAGTAGATCAGGGGTTTTGAGGGGCAGTTGGGTTTTACTCCCAATTTGTTTGTGCCAGTGCTTACGGATGATAACCTGAATAGGAATTCTCAAATCTTACCTTATTTCTATATCATACCTTGTTCAGCTGATGTTACTGAAACATTTGCATGTGTGTTTTACTTTGAAAACATATAGATAACTTTGTGCTTCTGATTTACACAACAGCTGCTTTACAAGCACTGAAGAGAAAAAAGAGGTATGAAAAGCAGTTGACCCAAATTGACGGGACACTTTCAACCATTGAGTTCCAGCGAGAAGCATTGGAAAATTCCTATACCAATACAGAAGTATTAAAGAATATGGGCTATGCTGCCCAAGCAATGAAAAAAGCTCATGAAAATATGTAAGTGCATTTCCTTTGCTTTTGCATTAAAGACTTACAATACAGCTCTTACTGAAAAGGAGTCACCCTGTGACTATACAGACTAATTCTGTCACTTTTATGGTTTAGCTTTTATTTTGATTCCAGCACTTTAATGTTCAGGAACATTTTTTATAAAGAACTTGGAAGAAAAATAGCTATTCTCAATAGCAGATCTGAGAGATGCACAAAATTATTAGGCCTAGACTATGAGAGTTCAAGTGTCTTGAGGGCAGAAGGAATAGCAGGAGCACTTTAAAAACCCTAAGGGCTTTGGTTACTTAATAATGCCCTAATCAGGCTGAGTGGAGAACAAGGGAGCTATGGATAGTAATTTTCAAAAATATCATATGCTCTTTGGGTTTTCTGCAGCATTATCATGCCTGAATACATAGCATTAAATTAAAAAGAGGCTGTTAAGGAGGAGACGTGCAAGACCTAAAACAATAGCAAAGATGAGGCTTCTTCAGAGAACAATGAGGGGAAGTTCTTAATTTGGGGGATGGCTGTACGTGATGCCCAGCATTCTGGCATGATTTTCTCTTTACAAGGGAAATCTGAGCTTAAAGGCTGCCTATATATGTGCTTGGAGGTGGGGGGTGACATTTTAATCAGAATGGTTCCTGGGCAGCTGCTTTAATTTAAAATGACTCGTGTATTAAGCCCCACGTATTTAAAAATGGCCATGGGACACTTTATCTAAGCCTCATTAATCAAGGTTTAGTTAAAGCACTCCACAGTCAATTTAAAACATGTGGGGGCTTAGTACATGTGATGCTGCAGCAGCACTGCAGTGTCTTATCAGAATGCAAGGCAGACTCAATTAATTGAGCTGACATGTTCTAATTAGAATGGCAGTGAGCACATGTATAGGCAGCCATAGATGCTGGCATCAGGAAGGAAATGAAGTCTGCTCTGGGAGTGTCATTGAGAGCCGATAGACATGCCAACAGAAGGAGGAGAGGGGAGAAAGGCAGGATCTGCAGAAGCAACACTTGGCTTCTCGCACTCTGGAGATGCTGGTGATTGGAGCGGCTGAAATGTACAAAGCTTGCAGTGGAAAATTAAGGGCGAGATGAAAGGAAATGTGCATCTCTGCTTTTATCCTTTACTATGAAGAACTGTATTTGAGTCGCTCTTAACCAACCACATTGCTGGTCACAAGTCTCTGAAGGGAAAGGGATTTACAGGTGCTAAATGGAGCTGGGTCTATCCCACTTATACAGCTAAGAAATGGGGCTGAAATTCAGAGCCCAGGCTCGTAAGTGGCTTCAACCAGAGTGAGGTGCCAGAAGGCAGGTTTCAAGAAGTTTGAACAGGGTTCAAAGCAAAGTCACTTTTGTCACCATGGGCATGGTTAGATTAAACGGGGGCCCTAAATTGAAGCAGTGCATTTTAAAAAACACCGTTTCAATTAAGGGCTGATTAAACCCCCATGTCGTGCACGTGCCTTACCTGCCTCAGGCAGGGAGGGGAGGGCAAGCTGCTGGCAGGCAGAGTGGTCCCTGGGCTGTATTATATTATATATAATACAGTTTTTTTTTTTTTTAAATATTTATTTCTGTATATATAAACAATTATATATATGGTGATGGGCGTGCACTCCTGCATACCTATCACCATTCTCTTGAAAACATCACAGTTATGTAAAAGACTACCTCAGCTTCCTCCCTCCTCCCCCACCTTCCCAAATCATCCTCCTGTTTTGTCCAGTCCTCTCTCATTGTCATCATTGTTGCTGTCTTCACTGTTGTCCTCCTTATTGTTCTCTTGGGAGCACTTGCCTCTGAAAAATCTATGCCAGTCCCTTCCCTTCCATATAAGGTCTGCCATTTCTTTTCCATCGTTGTCTTATATATAATACAAATGATGTATGATATTAGTCCAAAGCCAAAAGGCTAATGGTTTACCAGATAGCTGTTGACTCTGCTGGGGCCAACCCCAATCAACATTTCAACCCATAATAACTCCACAGCTCAGCACTGCTCAGTATGTGTGTGCACTGCAAATACCTGCGCATAAAGGAAACATGTACTAATTATCCTCACATTCATGACTGGAGCCAGGTGTTCTTGTCATGAGTCCTGGGATACTCCAGAATTTTTATATGCAGATGAGGTGCAGGGCAACTTGGTCTGGTTCCACGTCATGGAGGGTGGGGCCACACTAATCATATGTGAGAGGCTGGGAGAGGGGGTGACAGAGGGATTCCAGGTGAACTGCTTTGGGCTCCATTTGGTGTTGTTTGCCAGACATTTTAAGGTGGATAAAGCAACAGGTATCATTGGAAATGGGAAGGAAGGTGCAGCTAAGCTGTGGGAAGAGGAAGCTGAAATATTTGCAGTGTAGTGGTTCACCATGACTTGGAAAAGAGTCTGCACTGAGGGGGACTGAGCACAATGGGGAATATTACTTATCCAGATGGACTGCACTAACTTCTCTAGCAGGGGATGGCTTTTGGCATAGATGATTTTACTTATCTGGCAGGGAAGAAGCCGCCTTCTTGGCCTTGAGCGATTTCATATAGTTTGAGGATTAAGGCACATGCACTGTGGGCATGGTGACCCCTGCGAGAATCTACAAATGCCTCAAAATGAGAGCATCTCGGCTATGCCATTTATGGTGTTGGAGAATTGCTCTTGGGCTTGCTCTCTAGCTTGCTCCTTCAGCCTTTTGGTTAGGGGCAGGCAAGACAAGAGGGTATCTGAATTCCAGGGCATCCAAGCTTGGGGCTTGCTCATAGAATGCTTGCCATGGATTTTGGAGTATCTGAAGTCCCAGGCTGAAGAGTCTGAGAGGTAAGTGGTAGTGCTATACAGACTTGAATGATTGAGCTCTGCTCAGCCAAGAGAATTTGGAACTGATTTGGCCTGTGGCATGAAATTAAAAAAAAAAAAAAAAAAAAAAAAAGTGGTAGGTTCCCATCAGCATTTTTGGCACATGGGGAGGGTGTCAGAGCTTGCCCCAACCTCTCTGAGTGCCAGCCTGGTATTGCAGTATCTCCAGGCATGATGCTTCTTCTCTCCTGTGGGAATAACTGCCCCCCCCCCATTTTTTTTTTTTTTTTTTAAAAGGCCACTCACACACCCACTTAAAAGGTTCCCATCAGTATGTTTTACCAATATGGGCCATGTACTTTATAGTCATGCTTAGTGTTGGCTGCATTTAATCAGTGACAGTTGGTTTTGATTACTGAGCACATGCTGCTTCTGGCAGCAGTTTAATGATAGACAATGTATTTAACAAGTTTTCCTGGTAAGAAAAGGAACTTTCTTCCCTGTGCTGGTTGGGTGAGGGGAAGGGGAGGGAACCTTGTCTTGTATTCAATTAAATATAGCAGTTAGGTTCTTACATCTCTTTTACTATAGTCTCTGAAGTGCATCAGCATCTGAAAATGTTGCATTTTAACTATATGCATGTTAGAAACTACGCCTCAAGTATTTTGTTGTGTTGATGCCTTGGACTGGAACTTCTCTGGACTGTGTTCTTGGTAATGAAGGATTAAACTTTAGGGTTGTGTTATCATAAGGGAGACTGGGTCTAAGGATGCTCCTTTAAAAAATGGATTAAAAATATTTTTCCAGGGACCTAGAGAAAATTGATAACTTGATGCAAGACATCACTGAACAGCAAGATGTGGCACAGGAAATCTCAGAAGCTATTTCAAGCAGAGCTGGATTTGCTGATGAGTTTGATGAGGTCAGTGTTGCAATAAAGTTAAAGGTGAAAGAGGTATACAGTCTGATATGCTGGCTATTTCACTGTACCATTTCATGTTTTTATTTTAACCCTGGGGTTCCAGAATAGGTCATCAGGGGTTCCTCAAAGAGACGGGGGGTAATGGCAAAGTGGGCCAGGAGGCAGCACACTACCACTGCCAATCTGGGTTGCCTGACTCCATTTCAGCTCACATGGCCCATGGGGCCAGAGGCAGGAGTACTACAGCAGGAGAAGTAATATGAAAGGATTCTGTGACTTAAGGAAGTTTGAAACCTCCTGTTTTAAGGTATTTTTGCAAATATAAAAATACTTGGGCACATTTAATCTCCTTTTCCTTTTTCAAAGGAAGTTTAAAACTTGCTGTCCATGGTTTTTACCATGTGTTTGAGAATATCAATGCAATATGTGCTCCAAATAGAATCACATAACTAGGTATATCAGGAGTATATTGCCTCCACATTTGTAGAAAGTGTGCTACTGTAATAGTACTGTTTGCAATTCTAAACATGTAGGACCAGATTTATTGAGGTATCTTGATACCTGAAGAAATGGCTAAGGGCCTATTAGTATTTTCAGAAGTGATCTAAAGGTGGTTAAGTGCTTACCTTACCTAGAGCCAGTGTTAGGCCACCTAGCCTACCTCAACGCTCTTCGAAAAACCTGCTAAGTACCTGTCTGCATCAGCAGGTGCCTAAGATCTTTGAGTCCAGATTTTTCTGAAGTGTTTATCTAATTCTTAATTTAGTCTGTGGGAATTTCCTATTTATTGGGGCATTTGATCAGGTCCTTTGTAGAGATGCACTGATATATTGGTCTGATATCAGATCAGCACCGATATAAAGAAAGTTGATGGTATTGGAAATTGGCCTGATTTAGCCGATAAATGCCCACTTGTGTGCGCAGCTACAGTGCAGTGAGGAGCACAGCCCTGCAGCTTGGAGAGCTACGCGCAGCTGGTAAGTCTGGTGTGGTGGAAGGGGGTGGCAGCTCCTGCCGCTGTGCGCTGTTCATCCGGGGGGCCACTGGTCTGGTGCTTGCTCGCTCATCTGGTGGCTCCCACCACTCATCCAGGAGGGCATGGGGTGAGAAGCATGTGCCCCCAGATCGGCATGGGGCGGGGTGGGCCGGTCTGGGCCAGCCCGCCCCATGTCCTCCCACCCTGCCCCAGCCCACAAAGATCTGGGGGCACGCACCCCCTTCTGTGCCCTCCTGGACAAGTGGTGGGAGCAGCGGGAGCCACTGGACCAGCAGCTCCTGGATGAATGACGCGCAGCAGCAGGAGCTGCCCCTGCCTGCACACCCCAGACGAGCCGTAGCTCCCTCCCACACCTGCCTCACCCTGGCTGGTCAGTGCTTGCCCCAGCCCCATTCCTCCATCACCACGGGGGCCTTGATCTGCCCCCCACGCCCCTTCCCTTCCCCTTCCAGCACACCAGACTTACTAGGTGCATGCTGCTCTCCAAACTGCCAGGCTGATATCAGAAATCGGATTGGAATCGGCCGATATGCCTCCTTAAAAATTGACTATTGGTATCGGCCCCCAAAATCTCTAGCAGCGCACTCCTAGTCCTTTGTTATTTTAAAATGAGAGATGCTGATCCTCATGGATTTAAAGATCCCATTAAATGTTGAGCAATCTTAATAGCTATTGAAATCACGAAAGAAACAAAACAAAACATTGAGCCCATTCTGGGATCAGGGTTAGTCTTTTTGGCAGGTTTGAATTTTTCTACAAATTATAATGAGATTTTCAAATGCCTGAACATTAAGAACCAGTTTTTAACTGCCCTCTGGTGGTTTTTTAAAAAACAAAACAAAAATACCTCAGGTAAACCACAACCCCATACCCCCAAATTAATCTCTTCCTCAGGATGAGAATAAATGTAAAATTCCTTGATCCTAAGGATGATTACTTTTCCTCTCTCAAATACTTTCAATAAGTCCCTAAAAATACTTCATTTGCTGTGTTAAACTTCTGCCTAGGTCCTAGCTGTCTTGGATACTAAATGTTTTTGTGCCTGAGGAAATCTTTTGGATACTGAGTGGGAAATAAAACCCACCGTTGTTTTTTAACGTTGATCACTGTTCTAAAGAGAGACATTTTATTTAAACATTTAAATCAAGACTGGATATTGTTCTGAGAAGTCTGTTTCAGCTCAGAAAAGAAGTTACAGACTTACTATAGAAATTACTTCAGGAGGACTATCAAGAAGGTCAGCATAAATGGTTACAATGTCTGCTTCAAGAATGCATAACTTTTCTGTGGTATTACAAATATGTATTTGATTATTTGTCCAAATCAGTTTTTCTGCAGGTAAAAAACTAAACATGTAATATGCCTCAGTATTGACTAACAGGACCCAGCAGGACAACTGGGACTCTAATGTTACTTTGGATCTGTGCCAAATCCGGTGCTTAGTCAGGCAGGGCTTCAGTATTTTTCATCCAATGACAACATCCATTAACACAGTTTCCTTCTGGAGCCAGGTCCATTTATAGAATGGTAGCAGAGACATACATTGATTCCAGTTTTGACAATTGAACTCTTTTAGCCACAGTAAAATTGTAACTTTCTTTGCCTTCATTTTTAACTTTCAAGGATGATCTGTTTGTTTGTTTGCAATAAATGCCCATTTAGTTAGAATCACGTGTCTTGCTTTTTAGTGGGAAGTGTAATTTGGTAAATCTTAATAGGTTTTTATGATAGCCAACAAGTAAAGTTTGTAGTGGTTCTGCAACCGATGTATGTTCCCAGGCTGATTTTTAAATTAGAACTGTTATTTTAGTGATTCTTTGATTAATGGTTTTTGTTAAATACATCCTTTTTGTGAAATTATAGTTCTGTTAATATAATGGTTTTGTTTGTCTTCAGGATGAGTTGATGGCAGAGTTGGAAGAGCTGGAGCAAGAAGACCTTAATGATAAAATGTCTAATGTCAAATTGCCAAGTGTCCCATCTACCTTGCTGCCTTCTCGCCCTGGTAAATTACTTGTTTTTAGTTGCCCATGATTAAGCTATACCATGAATAAGAGGGAAATAGCTCGTATGATATAATTAACTCAGCTTTAACATTTAATGTACTGTACACTTCTTACTCCATCTTTGAGCCTGTTCATCACAGGAAGCAGTGAAGGCTTTTTGTTTTGCTTCATTGAACTATTCAGGACCTCATTCTATGCAAGTGTAAATGGATGTAGCACTATTGGCATTTACACTAGCAGAGAAGTTGATACTTGGGAGAGAGGGAATTTCATTGAATTATTCTGGTACTAATGACCAAGAACTTTGAAATTATTTTTATCTTTTTAACCACAAAATAGTCTCTTTTGTGAATAGGAAACTACCCAGTTTTAGAATGCCGGAGTCGCAAAGCTGCTGCATGTTATGACATCAATTTTGAAAATTGCTAAGGTTATTTTATTTACCAGTAGAGGGAGCAAAATCAAATAGAATTTGGAAAAGTGTTTATAGTTTTTGTTCCTGTCGCTCCACACTTGTTCCTTGAAAGGTCTCATTCTGCAGTTAGTAGCCAATTTTCAGACCTTTATCCTTTCTTTTTCCAGGCTGCTACTCAACACCCCTTGAGAGACACTGGGGACAATTAACTTGTAGCCATTTATTTCCTCTTTGCTTCTATTCTGTCTCCTGAGAGAGCCACTGTGCATCAAAACTGGACAGCACAAGTTAAGAACAAGGTGTTGGTGTACTGTGCTGGCCAAGGGGCTGATGTGACATGTCTACTATCCTAGTGCAGTTTAAACACTAGTTCTCTAGTTTCTGATCTAGTATCTCTCTCAGCTGATCAACTCTTAAACCTCTTGGGGGTGAGGGGGAAAGAGAGTGAAAAGATTTCACTACGACAGTGGTCATCTGCTCACCTAAGCTGCACTATTTTAATTAAAACGTGGGCAGCCCCCTATCTAGGCAGTTATTTTGACTTTTCAGGTTAATTTGCATTGGTGAATTCAAGAGTCTGAAATCTGGCCTATGCACAAGCACTGACAGTATTCAGTGACTAGGGGGTGTTGGTTATAGCTGTGTTGTTCTGAGGACATAGGCAGACAAGATTCTTTAGGTAAATGTGTGATGTACCCAGCATGCATCTCTTCTGATTATCCAGGTAGAGTTTAGACAACATTGCTTTTTGGAGTGATGGTATATTTTTCCCATTAATAACAGCTTTTAGCAGTTATTCTTTATGAGATGAATTCAACCCATAATGTTACAGACTGAATATGAGCTATCCTGGGAGCATAATGACTGTACACTTAATCTGTTTCACTGTGCTGCCTATATTTAGCTTGCTACTCAGTAAATTGTTCTGAGATGCACTGAGACTAGAAAGCATTACAAAGAGCATGATGTGGGTGAAGAAAATTGTTCTGATTATTGCATTAGTCACTAATTATTGCTAATTTCTCATTGTAGCGTCCTCCAGGAAGAGAGTAGAAGATGATGATGGTATGAAGCAGCTGGCAGCTTGGGCTTCTTAATAGCCCCAACTTTTATAATGCAGAACACTACAATACAGGTGTATAAAAAAAAAAAAAAAAAAAGAAACTATTTCATATACTTAACAATGCAGCATGATTGCATTTCATGCAGATCCAAGTCAATTACTCTTGTTTTTTTATTTGTATAGCCAATTTTTGCTCTGAAGTAATAATTTTTTTAAAAATATAGAAAGTATATTACAATCAGGCCCTGGCCAGCCTTGTGTCACTTTTACAGTGAAGAAACCACAAGGAATAAAAATAGCTTTTACTGGATAGTGCATAGCTGCATAGTATTGATTTGTAAAACATGAAAGCCCCATAGACAGACATGACTGAAATCCCTGCTATAATGAACCACTGAAACTAATTAGTCTGCAAGACCTAGCCTACTGGTCAGCTTGGTTGCAAGTATTTGAAAGTCAATAGAACAGTCAAGTTTAGGTTTCACTCTTATTACCTGCTTTGAGCACATTGACTGCTGACAGCTAAAAGCTTCTGCACTCCCTCTGGATCCACTGCTTGTCAAGAGTTTTAAGCTTAGTCTAGTTTAAGGAGCTGCTGCTGTTTATAGCCACAAGGGTGCTGCTAAAGCAGCCAGGCCACCTGGACTCAATGCAGTTCTGTTAGCAGAGGAAGCTTTTCTGTCACTAGAGTTGCACATCCTAAAATAGCAGAAGCAGAGCTGGCAGAAACTGCCTTCCATTGGCAGAGCTGTGTTGGTGTTGAGATGTGATCTTTATACATCGTTAGCCAACATAGCTGTACTGCCAGAACTTTGTATTATGTTTCAGGCGTTTATCCAAGTCCCTACCAATTTTAAACTGATCCAGCTAATTCTGTGGAAGATCAAGAATAAATGGTAACTTGACTCCCAGTTATAAAATCCTCCACCCCATTTTAGCTTTTAAAGATGTGCCTTGATTTCTTTGGGCAATACAGTTTTTCAGGGAAAATTGCAATGTATTTTTAATGCTGTGAGTGCCAGAGAACTTTAGCTTCTAAGCATTCCATTGGTGTAGGGAGACCTGAAGGGAAATATTATTTAAAAGTGTTAACATTTGAAATTTTAAGCTAGAATGTTGTTGTTAGAATTCAAATGTTTTGTCTATGGCATTAATGAACAGGATGTCACAGCTGATTTTATTTTTAAGCTAGAAGAACTTACTACACTGCAGGCATATCTACTGTGCAATAGATGAATTTGCTGCACAGTAAATGTCCCACATCTACACGTGTGCCCCTATTTGGTTGGAGTAAATTAATTAACTCTGAAGCAGAATAGTACTTGTAAATACAAGTACTAACCTGTTGAAGAGTTTTTTTACTGCATGGCAGCACACATGTAGATGCTGCCCCAGCTTTCTGGGGCATGACGGTACTTCGTTGCAGGGGGCTGCCTGCCAGATAGGTCTGCACTGAAGCACCCTCATGCCCCAGCCAGCCCCTCCAAAACACATTAAGCCAGGGGAAGCAGTCCTGGGCTGGCAGGCTGATTTCCCATTGACTGACCTGCTGGCTGGTGCTGCTCTGATTCAGCTCAATGTGCTGCAGTCGTGGGCACATGTTCAAACAGCACGCCTTGGAGCAACTAGCTCCAGAGTTTATTCATGTACATTAATTGCATGTGTATACAAGCCCCTACCTTCTAAGCTACTGCACTAAAAAGAAATTCATGCTTAGGACACAGAGCAAAAATAGCATGCCACTTTGTCAAAATAAATTTTGATTCTAAATTAGACCTGATGTTGGTATTAGTACTTGTTGTCAACCTTAGTGAAACAGTAAACAAACAGTTGTATTGTGGGACATTCTAGGGTGTTAGAAATCAGAATAATATCAATCTAGGTTTCTAGTTGTAATTCAAATCGGTTGATGGTTGAACCAATTGGGGAACACTGGAAGTGTCAGGTTATCCTTGCCTCCTTGCAGCAACAGAAAAATTGATCACTTGATTCTGTAGACATGATCCTGTAATATGCAGAGCACTCGGGTCCAAATCCATTAAAAGACTTCAGTGAGCCTCCTGATGTCCATGTTCAGACCATGATCGTGTGTTTTGCTGGACAGGATATAAAACCTTGTGAGACTAAGCTCCTATTAATGGAATGAATTCTGAAATTACAAATACTGAGGAGGTGATTTCTTCCCTTGCAGTCGGGTCCTAATATGAGTCCATTCTTTTAACCGGACTTGTTTCTTATTTATACCAGTGTTAATGGAGAATTGTATCCTGCCTATTAGACTAGTTACGCTGGTATGGAAAAGTGGGTAAGCAATGCAACTCTGTTCCAGTGGGGAGCACCAGGAAGACCTTCCTTTTCTGGAATGAATCAAGAAGAAGAAAGACACATTCTTTAGGTCTTTATTTTAAAAGCTGGATTTTAAAACCTGCTTTTACATTTAACACACACAATTCTGGACTGTCAGGAAGAAATTACTATGTTAATGTAGTTATATATAATGTAACTGAATAACATGTTTTGAGACAAGATAGAGACTTGGAGGCTTAATAAGTAAAAGGCTGAATTGTTCGGTACATAATACATTAAGTTTTGGTTGAAATAAGAACCTGTACCTATGTGATTTGCATAATTGTACAAGCAGACTGTCTGATCCATCTCTGTTTATGCATTTTGCATTTGTAAATGTAAGGCAAGCAATGTCAATAGAGTCACATGCTTAACTTGGAAAGGCTGGCCTTTAACATCAGTTCTTTATCAAATTAGTTTTCCATCACTTAGCACTTATTGTTTTCAGAGCATTTTAGCTAGCACTTAGCATATTCAACTAAATACAACATATACTTTATTGTACTTTTTTAGAATTGAAGACCTGGGCTATTAATTTCCTTTGGAGATAGTTATCCATGTGAGTCTGAATTCAGGTAGAAGGCAGGAAAGGGTAGCCTCTTAGGAAATTTTAGGTGCTGTCCTGTCTTGTGTTTGGCAATTAAAACAAAACAAAGTTTTTCTCTGCAAAGCTTTCTTTGCTTGCTATACACCCGCTTCTATGGAACTGCAATTCATTAGAACATGTTAAGTAATTGGCATCTAATATTATCTTTATTGCTTTAGGCAGTCACTGTTACTGTGATGCCATGAAAAAAGCACCCCCTGAACTGTGGTTCCTAGGAATCCCTAACTCCTTTCAAAGGCAAAACCAGTTGATCAGACAGCCATGTTGTATTAAATTAGCAAAAGGCAATATGCTGGCCTTTTAAGCCATTTATAAAAATTACATTTTTCTAGGTTTAATCTACACTACAGCAGTCACTATATACACATGGATGTCTGTAGTCCAAATTAAAATTGGCTCCAGTCTGAATTAACTGATCCTCACTGAATGAAGGTTAAAGTTTAATGCAGACTAGGGCATGTATTAATGAATACGCATCTGTGGCATTGAGTTCCTAAGGACTGTTTTTCCTAAAAGCAGATAAGCACTGCAAATATCAATCTGGGCAAGGGAAGCTCAGTTGGGCTTTTGCAACACAACAGAGGCTATCAGGCACAAAGTAACATCTTTACAAATTTGAATGTGCCAACAACACCTCGCTTTAAGTATCTAGTCAATTACAGGTTCTGGAGCAGCACTTTAGATAACTGCAACAATGTAGCAGTGATTAAAGGCTTATTATCATCTCCTAATTACTTCCAACCTGTGTTAAGGGGCTGTCAAGTGTATGGACTGTGTACTGTATAGCCAGTGCCTCCTGCTGTGAAGGTCAATAATAATCTATTAATCCTTGATTCGACTTGAAATTTGATTCAGTGGTGCACATCAACATGGTTTACAAAATGCTAAACATGTCTACAAACAGCCTTAAATACCACAAATCCTAGCTGTCCTGTCCAGTGTCCCTGGAGGCTACCACAAATACTATGTGAAAAAGGATACGTCTAAACGTATGTCTAAAATTTTCCAATTTTAGGCTAAAGATGACTTCAGGTCACTGGAAAATACAGACCTGTCACCTTTGTGCAGAACATTTTCCTATGGACCAGTTAGAGGACAATAAAACTTCAAGGACAGTCTTTTTCTGTAGAGTGAGCTACCACATCAAACCACCAAACTCCAAATAGGTTCTAGTCTATCTCCCAGTCCTGTAAAGAATCAAACAGCTGTAGGTTTTTGAAATCAACAGGAACTGATGTGTTCTTGTTCCCCAGGAGGTACTGAGCAGCTTGTAGGATCAGGCCATTAACAATTAACCTCCTGAAAAATAACTGGAGGCATGATCATACATATTTGAGTAGAACATCCAAGGATGCTGAGAGTTGGCTTTATTCAGAAGCAAAGATGCATCTGTTATTATGAACATTAGATGGGTACAAAACACTTCCGTTCACAACTGTTGGAATGTAGTACTGACTGGCCAGAATTGCAGTAAACCTTTTTGATGCTTTTGTTTTAATGAGATGTGCATCCACAGATCTCCAGATTAAACTGATTTCAGTTTAATGACATCTGTGACCCTAATGACATCTAGGGCGCTACAGCCATTGATATATTTGAAGAGCTACCCCTTTTATTGGTAAATGACAACTGAAACTGTGATGGCTGCTTTCTTTTGAACATATCTCTTTCCTGTGCCAAGCTGGTATTTGTTCAGCACAAAAACAGGAGGGTTTGATAGTGTCAACCCACTACTCTAAGTGCATTAGAATGGGCACGGCTTACAAACAGGATTTTAGAAGCAGATGGAGTGCTATAGTTGATTTATTCTGAAACTTCCTTTTTGAACTGTGTTTATTTTAGGAACTGTTTTAATGGTGTTTAAAAGTTTAATATTGGTATTTTCTAAAAGAGAATTGATCTTTGAGGGTGAGTGTAAAAGCTAATTTATATTTGTGTAAATAAATATTTGGTGTCCTAACTGTATTGAAAGCTGACTATTTTTTTTAAAATAGGATCTGGTGACTTTGCTTTTGCCTTTTCTTTTTAAGTCCAAAAGCTGTCTCCGTTCCAGGCTCTCATTCTGTTTCATGTTTTACATTTGCATATCAAGAACATCAACTCTGGCCTTCCTTCATGATCTCCTGGATGTCTCTAAACATATATTTAGTTTTTGGACCTCACTTGAAAGGGTGGGCTGGCCAAGCCCTCAATGAATTTCTTCAAAATATTCCTTTGGCATAAAATGTGCATTAGCAAAAGCAAATACAAAAAGCTATTTTTAAACAGCCTGATTTAGAATCTTATGACAAGATGATAGAAATATCAGTGCTTGCCTGGGAAGAATAAAAATGACTTAGCCAGCTCAGACTATAAAGATGACCATATTATTTTTAAGGAAATCTGGGACTTTGCCTTCTTCTCCACCTCCAAGTCAGTAGCGCTGCTGCAGGCAGGCAGGGCGCAATTCAGAGGCAGGTAGAGTGCCATGGTATGCTGGGCAGGCACTGCCTACCTGCCTAGCACACCATAATGCTCTGCTTCCCTGCTGCACTGTACCCTGTGCCCCTGTGATTCTGGGACTTGTTTTAATTTTCACCAACTGGCTGAAGCTGGCCTATGAAATCCAGGACTGTCTCAGCCAAACCAGAACATATGGTCACCCTAACTGTAGAGATCTTTGCAGCTCAGATGGAGCTGGCTTGGTTGCTATGGGATGGGATCTGCATGTGCTGTGTATGCTTTCATGAAACTATTTCCTATCCATTCCCCTTCTGTATCTACCCACTAATACTTGAGTTTCTGAACTCAAGTGGAGTAGCTACCAAATAAACCCTGTCCCAGCCGCCTGCGGAGGGTTCAGGATTGAGAGTGTGGTCGGGGGTAGAAAGGTAAGAAAGATTTATTGACTTAATAAAAACACGACTATGCATAGTAACAAGACAAACAATGACAGACAAAAGCAATTCATGTTGGCAACTTATTGGCAGTCCCCTCTGATGCCTGATACACAGCAAGCTTCTCTTTCCACAAAGTTCAGTGAAGTCAAGCGTCTCCGATCAGTGCTGTCCGAGAGGTACCGGGAATAACCCTGGAATGCAGTTCTTGGGCTCCTCGAGGTCCACGGGCCCACTGATCCAGGCAACAACTAACTAATCCTTTTCACAGAGCTGTATCTTCCTTCCGAATGGTTTCTAGATATTTCAGCTAATTTATAGCTTTTGAAGGGCACTGGTAACGTATGACTACTCAGATTCCCTTTACTTCAACAGTCTTTAGACTGACTAATAGCAGTACAAGCTTTGCATTCTTTTGATAAGGTAATTTTAACTGCCACAGGGCTTTACTACTTCTAGGCTTTGCTAAATTTACTAGGCCTTACTTTATACAAGGCCTCACTACATCTTAAACTTTAATTAGGCTTTTAGCAACAATATATAGTTTAATATCTAAACAAATACAGAAAAACACTTTGTCTAATCTTTATAAAGACTTCAGCAAGCACCTTTATCACACAGGCACACTTTTCAGCTGTCACACTTTACCCCTTGCTTGCTGAAGCACTATGATAGCTACGATTGAGATGCTAAAGCCACATGTGCTACATTGGGAAATGGGGCGGGATCTATAAATTTAACTTGCATAGAATGAACAGATTTACAACAACAACAATGGTTAAAACACCATTTAGCTGTTGCCACTAGGGCAATACAGAATACCATGGTGCTTAAGATGGTTAGCCACGTAGTTGAGGTGACACTTGGTGACACACGAATAGTACAGATTACATTATACCATTTACAAGCCTCGGGCACATTGACAGCCAGACTGATGATTTGCCCACCCTCTCGAGCAAGGAGAGCCAACTGAGTGCCTGGCCGAGCCTTTGCCTCAAGGCTTTGCAGCTTATTTTTTACTTCATTCTAGTTTTCTAACCGTGGCATGTCTACATCTGATACCCATGAAGTGGGTATTGTAAAGTTGAGCGGTATAGTCTCAGAGGAAATTTCTGGCCATTTTAGGGCAATAGTACAGTTACTTAATTGCAGTATAGCAATGGCTCCACTTTTAGCTCCTAAGCAACACGAATTGCACAAAGTCCAGGTGGTACTATTTTCATGCAGCAAATGACCTGGTCCTTCTCAACAAACACGTTGCCCTATTGTTACGTATGACACATTAGGTAACTCGTATACGCAGGTCATGTTAGGTGTGCTGAGAGGCCAGCCTCTCCATAGGGTTCCTAATCCAATCAAGGTGCTACTAATTTGAACTAAGGGGGACTGTGCTACATACCGAGGGCCATTGGGGGTAACTATTTCCCATGTGGGGCAACGCAGATTCCAGTCTCAAAGGCATCTTCCTCCTAGCCCCGTGTTTAGCAAATAAGCAGTGGTCCAGTTTCCATCTTTTACCCCCTGCACCAGGAATGAACGTTTTCCTTTATCACAGCCTTCCCAAGTGGTAATCCAGGTACTTTGATAGGGGTATCTTTCTTTAAATGTTGCAGGCATCCCATGATGCTCTAAGCTACTGGGCTATTCTCTATTTTTAATGTTGTTTATTATCTTGGAAAAATGTGTATTCAATGATAACTGAACTTGCGCATAAACAGTACTCCAAGTTTGATTTTTGTCTGCTTTAAAAGCAGTGTCCATCATGACCTGGGCAAGATGGGCTATCTCTAATCCTACATCAGTTAGCAATTTGTCAGTGTGCTCTAACGTTTTTCCTTCGAGCATGCCTCCTCTAGTGAGCAACCCTACCGCCTGTCGGTGATTGGCTACTCCTTCAGTGTTTTTCTGGGATTTATCCAAGTTCTATACATTCATAGTTAAGTCCGTCCAAAAGATAACCTAGAGTATCTCTTCGTTTGTGGGACTTAAGTGCACTTATGGAATGGAAAATGACTGGCCATTCCCATCTAAGCAACCCTTCAGCTACCCGGGCTCCTGCTG